TTGTAAAATTTGTAAAATTGTAATTAAAACCAGAATTATTTCTCCCTATGATAAATTAATAACACAATGTACTAATAACACAAATTTTTCGCATATTTTTACCAGGCTAAATTAGACTAATATCCATCTCAACCAATAAAGATTAACTTGAATCTCATTTTTTATGTTTTACTTTTTATCTTTTTCTAGTTCTAAGAATTAGAAAAGGATAAAAAGTAAGTTAAATTAAAATTATAAAAGTTGATCTGCATTGATAGAAATAGATATAAAAAAAACAAGTAGATAACAAAATGATCTTCCGTTAAGCTGAAATAAACTTTAAGTTAACAAGATCTCATTTCAGTTACATTTTACGTTAAAATTTTCTTATGCAAAGTTGCGTAAAGATGCTTTCCAGTTGCAATTTGAAGAAATATCGTTTTGAAAATATCATTAGAAAAATTTTCCGTCAAGATTTTACAAAAGTTCTACAAAGCATCACGTATTCTTCTTCAAGCGTATTTTCATTCTCGCTTCATCAGAAGTGAACAACGATACTTCCAGTGACAATAATCGTTGTCCTAGTTTGCATAATGCGTGGCTAAGGCGCAATAAGGTCGTCGAGTAAAATGCATAACTGTCGCAACACGTCTAAAGATGCTAAAGGAAAGTAATAGCCGTGCAAACGCGATTATGCAAAATCTTTCCTATAAATACGGACGGAATATGTCACCCAGTAATTTCGTGTCGGTCGATAAAATGCGGTGGAGGAGGCTCGCGAATTATGTAAGGTCGCCGTGTACTTGAATCCAGATGTAACATCTGCCTTCAAGGTTCTACATATTATATGCGCTTTTGTATACAAATAATTGCTACACGAATAATTGCTATGTGCGATGCACTTGTAACGCTTTTAACTACACACGTGTCGTAGGTATTTCTCGAGAAATAATTTACAACCGCGTGTCACAAAATCACATTGTCCGATTAAGTTATTGTTCTTATTACGATGGAATGTTTCGACAGGTTTAATTAAAATACTCTAAGATTGAAATCTAGATAAAATTATATTTTATATATTCCAAAACAAACAGAATATATGTTTACATTACGTAGTCTTTAGCTTCTTCGTTGAAAATAACATAACATCCAAAATATTCTGAAACCAGTTCTGAGGCCATTGTCTCTTGGTATAGCAATCGCATTTTTATTCAAATATTATATATCAGAAACATGCATATTAGTGAAAAGTATTGATATTTGATAAAACTCGTACCTGAAAGGAGAGAAGTGAAGAGGGGGGAGGATCGCGAAAGAAAAAAAAACACCGAATGACAGACAGGGCTATTTTAAGATCTCGCGACCGGTTTGCGCGAGTCACAAAGAGGCTCGCCTGTATCTCCGTTCCGAGTAATCTGTCTTGACGAGCCAAAATTTTTCGGAACGCGATACGCTCGAGTTCCATTCGCGCAAGAAATGACATGAAGAAAGAGAAACGCGTTGAACGATTGCGTCGAGATTAACGTTCCTTTGTTTCCAGGACAATATAATGATATAAGTACTCAACCCTTCGAGCAATATGTAGGTATATTTTAAATATTCTAGATAATCTTTTAGCTAATTTTTGACATTTTAGAGTTATTAGTGTATTTGATAAAGAATCAACTTTTCGAAGTTCAAACCAATTTCTTTTGCCATTAATAGCCCAGTAAAGTGACAAAGTTTGGAGGAAATAATTTGAACAGGGCTGAAACTTTGTAAACAGGCTTGTTTTAGGGTACTATTTAACATATTAAAAGTCCCATGTGTAGACGCTACGTTGCGGACAGGGTAGTGTCCAAAAGGTCCAAAAAACCAGTTTTTCGCAAATAACACGGAAAATATTAACTTTACGGAAATTTATGTAGATATAAAAATTGTAGCTTACAAAATTCCGCACAATTTCATTTTTTATTCAAGTCTGTACGACCAAATGGAGCAAAAATAGAATTTTTTTAAACACCGGTAGTTTTGCGAAAAATGCGCAACGCACGTACGCGTTTTCGTTGCGTCCCAAAACTACCGGTGTTTTAAAAAAATTCTATCTCTGCTCCATTTGGTCGTACAGACTTGAATAAAAAACGAAATTGTGCGAAATTTTGTAAGCTACAATTTTTATATCTACATAAATTTCCGTAAAGTTGATATTTTCCGAGTTATTTGCGAAAAACTGGTTTTTTGACCTTTTGGACCCTCCCCTGTCTGCAACGAGCGTCTACACATAGGGACTTTTAATATGTTAAATAGTACCCTAAAACAAGCCTGTGTACAAAGTTTCAGCCCTGTTCGAATTATTTCTTCCAAATCGACAACTTTCGAGTCATTTTACTGCATGGGCTATAATGTTAACAACGATAGCGTTGACAACGAGATTTGTAATGAATCGCGAGATATATGACATATGACAAAAGTTATCAGCAAGTTACGTTGATTAAATAATGCAAACATCGGTATCAGACGAATGCTAACAACGCAGATGCGTAGTGTTGACAATCTAACAATAAGACACGGGGTGATGGAAGATTCAAACCTAAGTAATATTTCCGGTTTTGATGTACAGAAAGAAAACTATATGTATTAAGAATTGTATATATACATATATATAATTTTCGAAAAAAGTAAAACATTTTGCTTCTAGGCTTTAACGTTTCCCTACAGACGTATAAATACACAATTCATAGCATGAGTGTAAATATGCCATGTGCAAAAGTAAAAATGCAAAATATCTATGCAATTAATGCACGATTTCATTAAATAGCAAATTTCCATAACGCCTCTGGACAATAAATTTGTTTTTTAATAATAATAAGTGAAATCAGACCGGATATAAATACAATCAATTTAAAGAGAAGACCATTTACGGTCAGTTTGTTTTTTTAATTAATAAATAACTGTGTTGTAATTAAAAAAAGATAGAAGATCTTAGCATAATAACAGTTAAATTCCTTTTCCTATAGCAGCAGAAAGATATCGCATAAAATTCAAATTGTAAGAAAAATCAACTCAGATTAATTCCCTGTTTAAAAATAGTGGTTTACACCGCTTGAAAGAAATTTTGAAATTTACTCAACGAACGCGCGATACGAAGTCTATTTTTCCAGATAGTATCTATTTTTCGTGATTTCGACAACTCCGGAAAATCTCAGTCGTATGTGAATTATGTAACGCAATTAAAGTTGAAACTTTCTATTTTCGATTATTGACTAAGCATGTCCATCGGAATGATCGTCCGGTTCCGCCAGCTTGGGTAGATTTTATGGCGAATTGTGAAGGGGCAAACACGGTGATTTTTCGCGGTGACTTCCGCGAATATAAGTCTTTCGTAGAGAAATCGCGAGATTGCGAGGCAACGAGGAACTTTCATAAAACGTTCCCGGCGACATTGTTCGGGGAAATATTAAAGTATCGAAAATTCCATTTTCTTCGAAATAAAAATGTCACATTACTTCCAGCTGGAATACTGTGAAAACAGGATGACGCCCAGAATTTAATCTTCAACTAAATCGGGCCCTTGATAATTCTATATTTATTTTTATTTCCGCATTTAATTTCCCCGTCGTGTCTTCCATTCGAAACACCCGCTGTTTTCATCGACAATATTTTTTCACCGTAAAACGTAGAAATAAGTTCTTTGTCTAGTCTCCTCTGTCAGTGTTTTACGGAAAAGACCGCTTTTAAATATTTGTACTTAAATATCTGAAATAAAGTATCGGTAAGATTCAACCGTTCGAGCTAAAAAAAGACTTTATGACTCTTTGCCTTCCGGTTAACATTATTTTTATTGATACTTTTGGAATCTCCTTTATACGCGCTTTCTGCGCCGTATCGGTTGCAAATTATCGTTATTTTCGCAAAATGCTGCAACCGTTACAAAGAACTGTTATCTGAAGTAATGTTCCCTCGTCTGGTGAACGACAAAAGATTTCCTGATCACAGATTATGAGACTTCGCCAGATTATGAACGCCGCGTTTATTCGCGATTTTTCACTGAAAATCGAGTTCACGAGTCGGGTGCTTATATATCAACGCACAACGATAAAAGATTATTGATAACGATATAATTTAATATAAACAGCTGCCTTCGTGAGCTATTTATATGCATGCGATGGTGATTTAAAATCATTCATTAAGTGCGATATTATTAACTGCATGTTATATGGCATCTGAAATTTATACAAATTGATTATAATATCAAAAAGGTTTAAAATTACGCGACATGAAATCGTATTCATCGAAATTCGTGGAAGGAGTAATTTTCATCGAATTATTGGAAATTATATAAAATTAATTGAATGTCCAGACTACATCGCTATCTTAATCGTCATTTTCGCCTGTGTACATTGGAGGCCAACCAGAAACACACATATGAATATATCATTGTGAAAGTCACCGTGAATTGGGCATTAATATTTGGGATTATCACCGTACCGGTCATTATGGCGTTTTAAAGTATCGCTAACTTGTATTTCATCGCGCGAGTTTTTTTCGAACAGTACGAGACATGTTTTTTACGACTCCGGTCTTTATCGCCGAGCATCGGTCGCTTAATGATTATTAATTGCAATTGATGTGCGAATAAATCGCTCGAAAAGATTAACAGTGAATTTGCCAAATAATTAAGCGACATAAATATAAAACGAATTATATAGAAATTTATGTTCTCCATCGCATCGCGAATTCCTTCTTTCTTTTATTCGACGCTCAATGTTATCGGGAGTACGTTGTATCGAAAGTACAATATATTCATAGCACTTAATTCATAAACGATTCATTCTGCAGTTAATTGAATTTCAATAAGATTTTTCTAAAAATTTACACGTCTCATTTCTCGCTTACCTTAATTAGTCTTTTAAAAGAAAAATTTCACTGGACTCACTCAGAGATTGCTGCAATGGGTACGTGATCATTCGCAAAACAACGAGTAACTCACGTTCGTGCGAGGCACGGCACTCGAATTTGTAAAACAATCGCAATTTAAATACCTGACGACCGAGTCCGGTACGAAAATGTTCCACCAGGACGGTCTCTTCTGCCGAGTGTAACTCGGTTGCGAATCAAGTCCCTCCGTGCTGCCGGACTGCGCGGGAATGCCGGACACGCCCTTCCTCCTCTTGCGATCCAGCTTGGGCGGCTTCGCGAGCGGATGCCAGGACTTACGGCGGCCCTTCTTGGCCTCCTGGGCCAAGTAGTCGCGGTCCTCGTTCCCCAATACGTCCCGATTCTCCTCCAGCAGATCCTCGGACACGTAGAACACCGAGCCTCTCCTGCCATTGTTACTGTCGCTGCTGCTCCTCCTCTTGTCCTTCGGCTTCTCCTTCGCGCCGTTATCTTTCACGTCGTTCTTGACGCTGTCCTTGGTACTGTCCTTGGTATTGTCCTTGGTATTGTCCTTGGTATTGTCCTTGGCGCTATTCTCTTTCTCCTCGAACACGCTGGCCCTACGGACCCTCTGGAAGAGGCTGTCCCGCCGTGCCTTCAGATCCTCCAGTACGCTGTGCCGACGAGTCTTGTCGCGCAGAATCACCGCGTTCTCGCGCTGCTTGCCGACGGCGCCGAGGATCCTCGCCAGCGACGACTCCTGATCCATCATCGCCGGGATGGAGTTGGTCGAGGCGTACTTGGTGGTCGTATGACCGTTCTGCGGCTCGCTTATGTACATCTTGGCTGTTTCCATGCTAACCGGAACGGCCACGTCGTCCGTATGACGAACGATTCACAGTCGGGTATTGCGCATCGCGCCGGAGAGCGTCAGAAAAATGTCGAGTTACTATCTTATATCGAGGTCACTGGGGGTCAGCTCGCGTCCAGATTAACTTCTCTCTATTTACTGGCTATACCGCCGAGGACACCGTCGCCGCGTCGTGAAAGATCGTTCGGTTCCCCGCTGGATACCGCTAACGTCGGGTTAACGTCTCACAGCGGCAAGGCCGTTGAAGACCGGAGGATAATTGGATCGGACGGGTCGCTCTCTTCTGCGAAGTCGTTAATGTCTTGGCAGGAAGGATCGTCGAGGGTCGGGCTGGGATACAAAATGTATTCGCTGGTCCTACGGGATAACTGAACGTACACGACGGAAGGTCGTCTCGAAGGCGTTGACCGAATAATTTATAGCGGACAAAGCCGTTAGGAATTACGACGTTATTCACGATTAGATATCCACGGTAGATTGAGTATCCACCGAGATTCCAAGTATCCGCGAGCGAAGACGCGCGCCGCGAGAGTCGGCCACGATCTTTCGCCGCTGTCTGTTTAATATTATACACCGGCGCGGCCGTTGAAGGTTACGCTACAGGCTATAGTATTAGTCCGCGTACTCCAAAGCGCCGTAGAGGGAATGGACTCTCGCGATACTCGCGGATTTAGCTCGTCGTGTATATCGGACGCTCCAGTTCGTCTACGACGTAAGATCCGCGCGATTTCTCGCCGGTCGCGCCGACTTCGACGGGCTTTTCGCCTCTCGCAGAAGAATCTTGCTCCGGTGATAGTTATCGATGACAAGCGGCCGTCATTTTTCACGAAGATTAGACGGCACGGGCGACGCGACGAAGCGTTAAAGCGCGATCGGCGGCATTATTCCACCGGCGCGGCTCGTCGGTGAAAGCAGCCGAACGGTCGACCGCCTTTTCACTCCTGACGCCGACGACGCCGTCGACGCGGTCACTCTCGTGAAACCAACGCGTGCTACCACGTAGGAGTAGTACGCCGATGCGTGTGCGTGTATGTGCTCCGGTCGGCGGATACGCCCGTGGAGAGGAGAACACGTCGGGGTCCGCGCGATCGTTGACCCAACTGGAGAGAGATCCGCGTTTATTTATATGTATATATTTTTTTTATTTACATCTATGTGCGTATACCTGATGCGAAACGCTCCCGTTTTTAAACATCCGATCGGCCGTCAACGAGTTTCGCTTCGTTTTTCGAAAACAGAGGGCCGCATCGAATTTTTCTATCAAGCGAATTTTCGTTTCTCGATCCGACGCTTCTCAAGATTGCTCCGTTTGCGCTCCGATCAACCCTTGCCTGCCGAGGGCGGCAGGGACGAGACTTGGTAGTTGTCTCGCATCACGCTCGGTGACAACAGCGCGAGGACGATCTTCCTGAGGGCAGGCATAAGACCCCTCGGAAGACCCTTCCTTATCTCGAGCCCCCTTTTCCCTTCTTCTCACTCCGTAGCTTCTTGATTGTATAAATAAATACCCCTTTCCTTTTACGCTCTTCTCTTCGAACACACGCGCGATTAAAACGCGCCTTCTTCGCGAAGAAGAGCCGCTCTTCTTCGCACGCGTTCTTTTTATCTCCTCCCTCGACTCGCTCTCGTTATCGGAACGAACACACGCACTTACGCTACGCACACGATAACGCGACGAAAGCGTATACAGAATAACACGGGAGAGCGTCGGGAGACTTTGCGAGCGTGGATCGAGGCGCGCGCTCGATCAACAACAACCGTCACGTGAATCGGATATCGCAGCAACTAAGCGCGAGCGAACGCGACCGCTTGTATTTATACACGCGTACCGCATTGCCCGCCTCGCGCGCGGACTGTCTCTCTCTTTCGCGGCGCATCCCCCACCCCGAGTCGCGACGAACGCGTATACCGAAAGGATACGCACGAGAGATATATCTGGCATGGATCCTGATTCTCGTCTCGGGACTCGGGACCAGAGAGGAAACCTGTATTACGATCACGGCCGCTCGTTTATGGGATCCTTTGATCCCGAGTCAGACACATTTGCGGCTATTTTTTAAAAATTTCATAAAAACGTCAGAAAGCGCGGTCGTCCAAATTTTATAAACGTTCCTTGGACCATCTTTCACGGGTATATGGGGGTGAGCGTTTGAAACGTTGGAGCATTAACACGTCACGTTTTAACGATAAACGTGCCTATTTTAGGATTTATCTCTTTTCTCGCGAAGGCCGCGAGCAACGTTAATTTAAGTTTAGATACATACGGTCATTTAACGCTAAATGTGCGATATAAACAAAGCTTTCAGTTATTGCGCTTTTAGAAAGACACTAGACGCTAAAACATTCAATTGCTTTGCAAACTTGCTTGTTTTCCGCGCTTACAGTGGAACGAGTATATGTTATACAAAAATTAGTGGACGCGTCGAGTAATAACTTGAGTTAATTAAGTGTAAAATAAACTGCTTAATAAATTCTTTTAAGTTTAAAATAAACTACGACGGCCCAGACAATGCCGTCATGTGTGTAACTCATTATTTGAAAACACATGGTTAACTTCTGCATAACATCATCTGTAAATTAATATAAATTTTAAAACAAAGAGACAATATGAGAAACTTGTTTATAGAACAATGTAGAGAGATATATAATTATCGGTCAAAGTCTGTGCTTAATCAAAAATATTTTGAAATACCGTTTATTTTTATGATTAAACATAAAATGAACAAATGAATAGATTAACCAAGTAAATTAATTCCTGATAATATCTACAGATAAATATCAATCTTTTTTAACGTTTCTAATGTGATTATATACGACTCTTACTATTGTGTTTTTTTTTTGTAATCTTTTTTAGATGGTCTTAAACTTGTATTGAGAGTTTTAAAATCACGTCGCAAACTTTAACGAGGTAATCTATAATTGAGTTAATCAATTTGATAGTAATCCATCCGAGAACGATAAACCGAGATAAAAAGATAACAACGATGAGCAACCACTAACAAGGTATATCGATAAGTTCGTTGAAATGATTGTTGCGTGAGAAATATCACTGATTTATGAAAAAAAAAACGATATTGTGTGATTGCATCATTTACGATATCTTTAATACATAACAACTTAACAACTTTGCAAGTTTAAAGAGACATGCTTTCTCTCGCTTCAGTTTTAAATTGAGAGTACGACGGATAAATAAATATCACTGAAATAAACATATTTGCTATAATATGTTTACGATAACAACTTAAGATGCGCTGTCATCACATGTTAATTTTTTATTATCTCCAGGGGATGATAAGAATTGATAACAATGATGATAATTGCAAAACTCACGATGTATCTATATAAAAGTAAGACGAGCAGATAAACAATAATGTATAACTCATTCAAAAGACAAACAATTAAAGTGAAAAAGATTGTATTAAATGACACATCAAGTAATTGCGACATATACTGCCAATTGAAAGCATAGAAAATCGAGAAGAAAAATAGAAAAATATATTCCAAGAATCTCGATCGCATCCGGGTATCGACGTTCGAGTGCCCTGATATTTCTAGATATCGCGCGCTCAAGCAGCCACTTGAAATTGATTACGCAATTCGCGCGGTATCAGGCTGCCATTTAATTCACGATCGGCCGCGAGATATTTTTTCCGGTGATCGCCATACATCTTGGCGTGATCTTGACCCGATTCTGGACCAACAAGAGAATGACCACACCCGCTTGTTTGTCCAATATTTACTTACTTATTGTTAGATTTACTTGGGGCTGCTGCATCCAGCGATGCAACCCACGCCAATATAGTTCTCATGAGTTGTAAATAAATGAACGTGCACCTAAGCACGCACACACAAAAACACAAATATATTCCGCGTTTAAATAAATTTCCCTTTATTTTCCATCTATATATACATCTCATCAAATGATTTTATTATTTTATTGTTTAATGTTTTGATCTTTGTTTTAATATTTAGAGATATGCAATTTTCAAAATTGTGTATCGCTATTGCGATCTTCCTTAAGAATCGCATCAGTGAATGCGATATATGTCGCATTTCAATTTTTATCTTATATTTTGAATTGTCCGTAATTTTGTATCATAAACGCAATTTTAAATCGCATGTCATTGTATATGACAAATACTAGCTATTTTAAATTTCCCCCGTTATATATGTAATTTTAAATTTTAGGACTTTTGAAAATTTTATTATACATTTTGATCGTTTCAAATCGTAAAATTTAAAATCATATAATATAACGAAGAGAATTTAAAATAGTGTTTGCGATATAAAATAACACGTAATTCAAAATTACGTTTATGATACAAAATTATGATAAAAACTTTTACGAATTAATAAACAAATTTTAAACAGATTGGTTAAATCGTGTCTAGTGTTAAAATTAAGCGTATTTATTAATCGGAACCAAACATACGTTTATAACATTTAAATTATTTTGTTTTACCATTTTCTTATATAAATATTTAATGAATAAATACTTCATTACAATGCGATTTTGACCTATATTTGTAATTTTAAATCGCAGGTATTTGCATGCCGTGCAATTTTGCGATTAAAAATCAAATTGCATATGCGATGCAAGAAAAAACTGCAGTGTTAGTGATATACCGCAAAATCGCACATCCCTAACTAAAATCATATTATTTTGTTGATATTGCACTATATATTTTTTTTATTAAATCAATATTTCATTATTAAAAATTTAATGTAAATAAATATATCTTAGTATGTAATGTAAGTAAATATCTTATAATTTCTCTTAAGAAATTATATTGACTGTAATATGTAGATATTAATGTTGGTAGGTTTGGCTGACTTTACACTCTATACTTTACGCTCGTATCGTCAAGACACAGCATCCCCTTTTGTTTGCTTTTTGTTTTGTAAGAATTAAATTAAATAGGGCAAGAAAGAGAAATTACGGTAAAAGTACGGTTCCGCAAATTAACTGTTTTCCACTGGACTAATTAAAAAAAACTTTGATGTAACTTCTGTCGGATATCATGAGAAATAAACTTTAAGCAAACAACTTTTATTTATTAGATTAAATTGTCAATTGTACAGTGAAGAAACAATTTGCAAAGATCCTCTCGTAAAACCAAGAGTTCGCACTGTACCTCCATTACATCGTATGCTGTATTTTTTACTCAAGTTTTATAATTACGACTCGAATCTGTTTTCGAGAAAGAATCTAAAAGAGAAACTTTATTAATCGACTTTCGGTAGCAGTTTGCACATGCAGCGCTTCAGAAATGCTTGCCGGGCGCAAGAGGGACATTATCTTGGACGGAACAAAGAGCGACGTTGTTTGCTGCAGAAATTTTCTCGACGAGCGAGAGGCAAGCCTTCACAAGAGCGGGACAGCGGAAGGGCTCTAATTGGCTGAATCGAATTAAGAGCCTGAGCTCGGTATTTTCATCGTTGCCAATTTCGTAATTGGATACGCGACCAAATAGACCAATTGTTTGCATCGATGCTGGACATCCATCCGCCTCCCTCGTTAATCGAAGTCTCTTCGTTAGGAAAATGCGCGGACATATACGACGGAAACTTCGTCTCGACGAGCGAGCGACAGGGCCGGAAATGTCGTGGAAACGGGTGTAAGCGTCCCTCCTCGTGGCGGCCTTGCAGTTAGACAGCTGATCGCGCAGTGACATTCCCACGCCTGACGATCGATCGCCGCGCGCGCCGTGCGCGTGCGAAAGCGCGAGGTAAACTCGCGACGGCTTGAAAATTATTTTCAAACAAATCCCTCATGGAGAAAACTCAGTTTGTAAGTACACTGTTAAAGTCATAGGGTTATATAAATTAAACTCTATTTTGAGTAATTTTTAACTATTCCATAGATCGCCACTGCTCCTATTCAATATGTAGTTAATTTAACTAAAACACTGTTAATTTGACTAAACCAATGGAGTTAAAATAATTCTATTTTGTTTCAAACTAATAAATTTTGACGCACATGCATGGTAGTTAAAAATAACAAAATAAATCTAACTCATGGTATTGGTTTAAATGTCATCCTCTAACCTTTAACAGTGTAACCTTATTTAATTTGGTGTCGAGTTTTCTCCACGTAAAATATTATAATTAGTGTACACAGTATATTAATTAATGTTTTGTACACAAGAAATGCGCAGCGAGCGTTAGGTATAAATATCTATAAATATCTTGTACTGTTATAGATGTCTTATTTAAATCTAGGATAAAAATCCTTTCATAATTTATCGTGATTTGTAACGTTTATATTATTAAATAGTTTGAAAATTCTTCCTAAGCCTATAAAGTATCAAAAATTAAAATTCCGTTAAAAATAAAATTTTTTTAAGATTAAGTAAATTACATAATTATGTAAAATATTTGATTTATGATAATTGCACAACCATTAAAAGATCATGTTAGATTTTAGAAAAATTAGTGATGACTCAAGTTTAATCAGGTCTAATAAAATCTAATAAAAAACTCAGATGTTATCTTTATTCAATGTACTCACTGAGACACTACTCGGAAAAGTGGTGGAATAATTTCGCACGTTAAAGAGCTGAACCTCATTAACCGAGTATACTTTATCAGACGTGTATTTGTCGTTGGATTTACATGTCGTGAAACAGGTTTACGGCATGGCTACCGAAATCATAAACGGGACTAACTCTCTTCTTTTGCGATATAATGAGCAAACCCGGTTCCTTTTCATTTAAACTAAGAACTTTTCATCGATATTGATATGAAATCGTTTAGAATCGAAACAATTATTTT